CAAAATATTGCAATGACAATCAATGTTGGTCGTTAAATTAAGAAGGATACAAATGAAAAATTTTAAATTGACAACTTTTTCTATTTCATTGAAACAGACGTTAAACATGTCTTTCTTCCTTTCTTTCTTTCTCACTGAAACCAAGTAATATTTTCCCCTCTTTCATCGGCAATCAAAACGGAATAGTCCATTATTTATGAGGTATTGGCAGAAGACGTTAAACACTTTTATCTTTCTTTCTTTCTTTCTTTCTTTTTTTTTTCTTTCTTTCTTTCTTGTTTAGTTCTTTCTTTTTTCTTTCTTTTTTGATCCAAATCCTCGTCTTACGAACATTTTTCTTAATAATAGTTTTAAAATAGTTCAGTAATTTTAAAATAGTTCAGCAGACGATGTTATTTTATTTAATTCCTTAGAATTGGAATTTGATGATTGTCTTACACGGTTTCTGTCATTTGATACTGTACGTCTGAAAAATGCCACAGTTATAGCGATCGCCATCATTTCTCAGCCTTTTGGTTTGAGTTCAAAGTGTAGTATCTGTTGTTATCAGCTTAATCTGATTCTATCTCCTTTCTTTCTTGTTTTCATTTTCACGGATTCCTTATTTGAATTTTCTGATGAATCTTAATTCTTAAGTTAATGATTGATTAATCTTATGGAGAGTTCTACGATAAGGAAATATCTGTAGAATTTGCCGTATCGCATCTTGACAACTGTAACAAAAATTTTGCAATAACAATCATGAATATGAATGCTGGTCTCTATTTTAAGAAGTAAGGGGGTACAAATGAAAATATTTGAAATTGGCAACTTTTCAGTTTCAATAAAACAGTTATTAAACACTTCTTATCTTCCTCCTTTCTTTCTTTCATTTTCTCAGTGAAACCAAGTAGTGTCTCTGATATGTTTCGTTTATCCAAGCAATCAAAATGGATTAGTCCATTATTGATGAGATATTAGCAAGAGACATTAAACACTTTTATCTCCCCCTCTTTCTTTCTTTTTCTCTTTCTTTTTTTCTAACCAAATCCCCGTCTTACGAATATCTTTCTTAATAATGATTCTAAAATAGTTCAGCAAACGATGTTATTTTATTTAATTTCTTAGAATTGGAATTTGACGATTGCCTTACACTGTTTCTGTCAATGGATACTGTACGTCTGAAAAATGCCACAGTTATAGCGATCGCCATCATTTCTCAGCCTTTTGGTTTGAGATCAAAGTGTAGTATCTGTTGTTATCAACTTAATCTGATTCTATCTCCCCACTTCTATATTCCCTTCTTTCTTTCTTTTTTTTTTCATTTAGATGAATTCATTATTTGAATTTTCTGATATATCATAATTTTTAAGTTAATGATTGAAAATCATGACTAGTTCTACGACAATAAAATATCTGGAGAAATTCTCTTGTCGTATCGTTAAATATTTGAGCTTAACAACTTTAACAAAATGTTGCAATGGCAATCATAAATTATGATTTCTGGACCTTATTTTAAGAAGTGGGTACAAATGAAGATTTAAAATTGGCAATTTTTTTCCATTTCACTGAAAAAGCCGTTAAACACTTTCATCTGTTATTCTTTCTTTCTTTCTTTCTTTCTTTCTAACCAAATCCCCGTCTTACGAACATCTTTCTTAATAATAATGCCACAGTTATTTCTCAGCTTTTTGGTTTGAGATCAAAGTGTAGTATCTGTTGTTATCTGCTTAATCTGATTCTATCTCCCAACTTCTATATTCCCCTCTTTCTTTTCTTTTTTTTTCCATTTTCACGGATTCCTTATTTGAATTTTCTGATGAATCTTAATTCTTAAGTTAATGATGTGTTCTACGACAATAAAATATCCGTAGAAATTCCCATATCAAATCGTTTCATATCTGAGTTAAAAACGTTAACGAAATATTGCAATGACAATCATAAATGATGAATTCTGATCCTTATTTTAAGAAGTAAGGGGGTACAAATGAAAAGATTTGAAATTTCTGTCTATATCGCTGAGGTAAAATATTAGTGCATTACTTACATCATTCGGAGTGTTGTCTTCATCCTCGTTGCCATATTCACAACATTTCGACCGTTGCATGCCGCGACCTTCGTCAGGTGATTGGAATTTCGAATCGAACCCTTTATTTCGTCCACCGGGGTAGGTTGTTCTAGCTCCACGTGTCATGCCTCTTCTGGATGTCTCAGTTATTTCCCTTTAACTCAACTCTCCAAGTTTTTGGTTCACCACTGCTGTGGCCTGGTATTGAACTCAAAACTCTTTGGATCTAGTCGCTGGGTCTAACCAACGTCTTTACTCACTGGGCCATGTGTCCTCGTGGACGTGGACTCGCATATGTCTTTTCCGTTTTTTTCACGCGATCAAAATCGGAGTAGTTTATCATTCGTCTGTTTTATAAAGTTTCAACAAGTTTTTAGTTACTTCCTTCTAGCCGACAACAATGGGGCCGTCTTTCGAATGTAATAGGATCTTATTTAACCTATAAAATCGAATGAAACTTGCCCTTAATAAAAAATCTTTTTAATCAATTTAACGTCCTTCAAGTGCACCCATCTTTGCGAAGTCATTAAAGCTTGATGTAACGAACTTGCTCGAGATAAGTATGAAAAAAGAAAATAAAAGCCTGTACGAAAATTTCACAGAATAATTAAAAGCGTAAGCGATTAATTCAAAATATTTTCAAATGAAAAATAAATGAAAATTATGTGTACTAAAACTATTTTGTAAAATACTTCTGAAATCTAAATAAAACGATTTCATTGTAACGCAATCACTCTAGGTATTCTGCCGCTTTTTCATACAGATGTTAAAGTTAGTGAAAATCGGCAAAATATTTTCTACGAAAATTCTCGAATATTCAGACCGGTAAATGCAGTCGGGCATACATATATATATATATATATATATATATATATATATATATATATATATATATATATATATATATATATATAGCAAATATATGGATATATAGATCCGACAGTATGAAGAAAAATATAAGGAAAAATCAAACAAAAATCTTAATATGCAATTATGTTGTTTTAATGTAAATATAATGTCAACGTCGGACGTTTCGGTCTAGTAGACCATCATGTCTACTGGAAATACAAACCTGAATTTACTTTGTAACATGGAAGACTTCAAGCTTTTTCATGTTGAATTGAATATAGTCTAATGTTAATTATGTTTTATGAATATGTCCTGAAGATGGTCTACTAGACCGAAACGTCCGATGTGACATTGTATTAACATTGAAACAGCATAATTGCATATTAGGATTTTCGTTTGTTTTTTGCGTATATTTTTCTTCATATATATATATGGACCTTGAATATAAGCTTGCTCCAACCATTTCATCATCGAAGCCTTGTTACATACATTTTATTTCTTCTTCTTCCGTCTCGCCATGTTTATTTTTTTCTTCTCTCCTCTCGCCATTTTTATTTTTTATGTTACTCCTGTATAACTACGATAAAATGAGAAGCCAAGTCACCCGCTCTTAATGTAGCATCAAGCAATTATTATTATTATTATTATTATTAATGCCATTTCTGACCTTAGGTCTCTTGGCGGGACCCGCAAAGAAATGAGTACACACCAGAAATAAAAGGAAATAAATCTCTATCTATAAAAGGCAGGATGTGTGTGTGTGTGTGTGTGTGTGTGTGTGTGTGCGTGTGTGTGTGTGTGTGTGTGTGTGTGTGTGTAACAATGCACGGCCACCAATTTTCGACAGTTTCACCAAAATTTACATGCTCCAAAGTTAGCCCAAGACTGACTTTGCATTTCCCAACTCCCATCGATAGGGGGAAATAATAGATTTTTCATGCTTCTACGGCAGCTTTCATGTAGTTTGCGGCCATTTCTACTGGCCAGAGTGAGGCCTATAGCTGGCTGTCACAAATAGGCAGGAAGATTCTATTGGCCAGCGTGAGAGCCAACAGCTGGCTGACACGTATATTAACTAGCATGGAAAAAGATCGATAGCTGCATTCGTCACAAGTGGGAAAAATTTAAATCTGCATGGCGTTTTCTCCAATTGGCTCATTCGCTTTGCTTAAACTCAACGTTGATTCTGATTCCGCAGAACTGGATTGGGTGTGAAAAAGTATTTGTTGTTAACATTCTTTTTTCATTCGGTTTTCAGTTAGAGGTCCTTTTTAAAGCTGATCGATTTGTGTTCATTTTGCTTAGTTCTTTTTTTTTTCGTAACAGATTTAATGTTTAGTATAAACTTAGAAAAAAATCGCAGTGTGAGATAGGCAAAAGTAAAGGCATGTAGCAACATCAGCACGACAAAAGGGCACTCCTTTAAAAACGGAAGGGCAAAAATATTTTAAGTCAAGTGATAGCGATTGCTGTATGAGTCGTACGATTTTTGAATCAAGCACGGGCAACGCCGGGCCACGCTGCTAGTTAATAATAAAAAAAAAATTAATAATTCTGTTGTTTCTTAGTTCCTAGTTAATAAGCACGTGCATTACACCAGTACGCCATAAATAAAGGATTATTTCGTTATTGATCACGAGGAAAGAGAGTAAGGACATTTGTGAGACATTGTTTAGTTTTAGTAAGAAAGAAAGAAAGAAAGAAAGAAAGACAGAGAAGAGAAGAGAAGATACAGAGGGTGATAAAATTCTCATGCCATTAACATCTGCTTCGATGGAATAACTTGTTAGTTTGAAATCTTTCAATTTGTACCCTCTTACTTTAAATAACAACCTGTATACATAGTTATTATTATTATTATTATTATTGCAATATTTGTTTTAAGTTGTTGAGCTCAAATATTAAATGATGCAAGGAGGGGATTTTTCACGGATGTTTTATGGTCGCCAAATTTGTAAGCAGCTTATTTAATCTTTAATTTAAGAATTATGATTCATCAGAAAATGAAAATAGCAAACCAGTGAAGCTTTCATGGGTATGGCTAATAATAATAATTATTATTATTGATTTTCCCGCCAACTGAACGTGTGTGTGACAAAATGACATGTCTCAACAGTACTCCTGTCCCACGGATTCTAATAATTTTAATATTTTTATAAGATTCATTGCGGCTTTCTCTCAAATACTAAGTGGTTTCTTTCTTTTCAATTTTATTACTTTTCCATTCCCTTCTTTTTCTCAGTTTTGCTTTCTTCTCCAAATACTTCTTCATATCAAAAACTCTCGATTTCTTTCTCTTCTTCGTTCGCACTTTCTCCTTTATATTCTTGTTCCAATTTATTTCTTCTTCTTCCTTCTCGCCATTTTTAGTTTTCTTCTTCCCTCACGCCATTTTTATTTCTTCTCCTTCTCTCTTGCCATTTTTATTTCTTTTCCTTTCATCTCGTCATTTTTATTTCTTCTTCTTCCCTCTCGCCATTTTTATTTTTTTCCGCCCATCTTGCAATTTTTTTTATTTCTTCTCTTCCATCTTGCCATTTTTATTTCTTTTCTTCCCTCTCGGGATTTTATTTCTTCTTCCTTCTCTCCATTTTTATTTCCTTGCTTCACGCAATTTTTATTTCTTCTTCCTTTTCGCCATTTTTATTTCTTCTCCTTCCCTCTAGCAATTTTTATTTTTCTTCTCTCCATTTTTATTTCTTCTTATTCCTTCCCGCCATTTTTATTTTTCTTCTTTCTTCTCTCCATTTTTATTTCTTCTTCCTCCTCTTCTACATTTTTATTTCTTCTTCTTCTTCCCTCTCACCATTTTTTTTCTTCTTCTTCCCTCTCACCATTTTTTTATTTCCTCTCTTTCACTCTCGCCATTTTTATTTTTTTCCTCCCATCTTGCAATTTTTTTATTTCTTCTTCTTCCGTCTTGCCATTTTTTTTTCTTTCTTCTCGCCATTTTTATTTCTTCTTCTTCCCTCAGACCATTTTTATTTCTTCTTATTCCTTCTCGCCATTTTTATTTAATCTCCTTCTATCCATTTTTATTTCTTCTTCTTCCTTCTCGTCATTTCTGTTTCTTCTTCTTCCCTCTCATCATTTTTATTTTTCTTATTCCTTCCCGCCATTTTTATTTATTCTTCTTCTCTCCATTTTTATTTCTTCTCCTTCTCTCTTGCCATTTTTATTTTTTCTTCTTCCTTCTCTTCATTTTTATTTCCTTCCTTCACGCCATTTTTATTTCTTCTCCTTCCTTCTCGCCGTTTTTAATTCTTATTCTTCCCACTCGCCATTTTTATTTTTCTCTTCCCCTCTCGCCATTTTTATTTCTCCTCCTTCCCTATTGCCATTTTTATTTCTTCTTTTTCCCTCTCGCCATTTTTTCTCTTTCCGTTTTTTTTTTTTTCATTTTTGGCTTTTCCTTCCTATTCATCATACTACGCTTTCCGCTTTACCTTCTTCTACTTCTTTTTTTTTCTTCTTCTTCTTTTATTTCTTCTTCTCTCTGGCCATTTTTATTTTTCTTCTCTCCATTTTTATTGACTTCCTTCCCGCCATTTTTATTTCTTCCTTTTCGCCATTTTTATTTTTCTCCTTCCCTCTCGCCATTCTTCTTCTCGTTACTCATCTTTTCATTCACGACATTTTTCGACGCCTACCTTTTATTTATTCTTTCCATCTTTTTCTTAATTAATACTTCTTTTCTTTCACTCTTTTTACCTCTGCTCCTTCTGCTTTTTCTTCGTCGTCTCGTTTTTTCACGTCTTTTATTCCCTCTTTCTCCATATCATTTATTTCTTCTTCATTTGCTTCTTTCTTATTTTTTATTACTTATTTTCTTTATTCTTCTATTTATTCTAACACTAATATTTGTTTCCTTCTTTTTCTTTTTCTTCTCTTTCTTTTACTTTTCTTCTTTTTTTTCTTCTTTTCTTTTTCTTCCTCTTCTTCTTTTTCTTATACTTTTTCTTCTTTTTCTTCTTCTACTTCTACTTCTACTTCTTCTTTTCTTTTTCTTCTTATACTTTTTCTTCTTCTTCTTGCAAGTTAAACTGAAAAACAATTAAATCAAATCCGTCCTCGGCTCACACACTTCAGGTCACTCGGTACACTTTTTCCCGCCACAAAACACGTCTACACATCCCCAGTTTTCCCCTTCATTCAGTTCTTGTTTTCTTTAAATTCACCTTTTATTCTCTTTTATTTGTATTTTTCTTTCTTTTTTTTTTTTGTTTGCTTGGAACATTAAGTCATTTACACACAAACACTAGTTGGCCTGCAATATCTTCCAGCGTCTACTGTCTTAAGAATTGTTAACCCTAACTCACACGCCACCCTCTATGCAAGGATTTTCGTAATTTGTTCCAGGTGCTCTAATGATGAGCGACACAACTGTCACCATTTTCTCTTGGCTCGACTCTTCGACAACTGCTCAAGATGCTTCAATAATTATCGTCTCAAAGCTCATATTCAGCCGATTTACATTCACTCATCCTCTTTGAAAGATTCTTTGGTGTCCACTCCTGGTGCTCTAATAATGATAGGCACGACTCTCACTATATCCGGTTGATTTCTAGTTCCAAAGATCTTCAGTGATTGTTCCAGGTGTTCCAATAATGATAGATATATCTTTCAGTTGCTTCTTTTACATGGTTAATAAATCTGTTTTTTTTTTATTTGTTTTTTTTTCCCTGGGTTGGGTAATCCGTTTGAAATTCAAAGATCCAAAAGAATTTATATCTCAGATTTTGTAGGCCAGATTCTAGTTTCTCTCGACAACGCTCATATGAATGGTCAAATTCAAATGGTTTTCATCGTTCTCGGTAAAGAACCTTTCCTACCCATTCACATATTTGCTTGTACTCCATCGGAAATAAATTGTCGAATTCGCTTATTATATACTGCTTCATCTCTATCTTCGAATTGTCTGTGTTTTTTTTTTTTTTTTTTTTGCGTGTTCTCTATGTTTTAATTAGTGTAATATGTTCTGACCAGCATGAACGGAGATTCAGTTTCGCTCTTTAGATGTCCTCTTCACAAGTATATATTGTTTGTAGGATCCACCTAATTTGCATAATTGATTACCGACCATATAAATATGGTTGGTACCGGGAAGAGGGGAGAATCAGAGATTCAACCAGAGACTCTGCCCGGCTGCGACTCCAGTCAACACATTCTCCAGGAACGGTCTTACCAGGAATATACAAAAGACTATATGTAAATATTGTGTACACTTTCTTGTTTCAATACATTTTGTTCTAAGTACATTTTGTGTTGCATTATTATTCCATGCATTAGTCAAGTTTCAGCATATATGAACAGCGTTTCGACTTCAAATCCTTTTATCAGTCTCCTGAGATAGATATGGAAATTGTTTTCTTTTTTAATATTTGGATTCTCATTTTGAAGTTTTCGGATCATTTAACTCGTCAGTTCCACTGGAAATTCTTTCTTTCTGGGGTTGGTGGCTTGTCGATATAATAAACCTCTATTCGAATTCTTAATCTCATCAATTCCATCATTCTGTTTTTGTGAGTACAACGGTTAAGCTTTTCCTCGCAGAATCAGAGGCCCTTTTACCCAGCGTTCGGGTCGAGATCAAAGCATAATGCCTTTTCTTATCCTCACTGTCGTGTTTTATTGTCTTCGGACAGTTTACGGAAAGGCTTTTAGGAACGTAATGGTCCCGGGAATTTAGACTCTGTGGCAGAACATTCCCCATTGCACTAAACAGAGAGCAAGCGATTAACAAGTTTTGCTGAATGGAGAACAGAGGGCCGGTAAAGTGTCGAAGCGCGTCGTTAAAGGGAGGCACATTTTTCTTTTGTAGGATTTCTCGCTCTAGGCAAGTTGATATTAATTTCATTGCTTAAGAAAATTAGAAACCGGGATGTCAGCACAAATTCGTACCTATTAAAATAACGTTTAGAGCAAGAAGAAATAATAACGAATTAAAAAAAATTTGAAAATTATTATTTACATTAATGAAGGTAGCAAATTTAAAAAAAATGTAATGTTCACCCTGGATAGGATACAAGGTAGATGGTTACAGAATAAAAGTTAAGGGGGATGTGGATATGTGGGGAAGAAAACGGTTTACCATAGATTAAACAGGTTAATATTGTAGTGGCCGGGGAAGTATCCTCTTGGGAGTCGGTTCCACAGAGTAACTGTAATGTTTACCCAGTACAAGACCTAAGAGCCACTCGAAGAAGGGGCTGCAGAAAAAGAGGTAAGAGACACAGTTTATGGGGATATATGGGGAAGAAAACTGTTAACCTTAGACTTGAACAGGTTAAGATTGAAGCAATCGGGGATTTATCCTCTTGGGAGTCGGTTCCACAGAGTAACTGTAATGTTTACCAAGTACAAGACCTAAGAGCCACTCGAAGAAGGGGCTGCAGAGAAAGAGGTAAGAGACAGTTTATGGGGATATGTGGGGAAGAAAACTGTTAACCTTAGACTTGAACAGGTTAAGATTGAAGCAATCGGGGATTTATCGTCTTGGGAATCGGTTCCACAAAGTAGCGATTCATGGGAAGAAGCTGTTCAAGTGGAACTTACATTGGAATACGAAGGGAATGGGGATGGTTCACTTCATAGAAAGTGACATGGCGTGTCTTAGCACTGATAGTTATAACTGGGGGAGGGGGGGACTAATGAATGTAGTTCGTCTGAACACTTTCCTTGGAAATAGCGAGAGAGAGTAGCGAGAGGCTTGTGACATTTCGTCTGAGGGAAAAGATTTGAAGAGGTCCCAACGAGGAATATGCATTCCTTCAATGAGCTTTATCAGGTTAAAGAGCTGAAAGAGAAACCAAAGGTAGGAAGTTTTGGAGAGCCATGATCGCCCACGTTTTGACGGAAGGTAAAAGAACAGAGATAACGATGACGAAATTTAATTTCTGGAGAGAATGAGATAGATAGATAGATAGATAGATAGATAGATAGATAGATAGATAGATAAGCAAAAAGCAGAGATAGATAAATAAATAGGTAGATATGAACAGAATGAGAGAGAGAGAGAGAGAGAGAGAGAGAGAGAGATATGACCAGACTTAGATATGAGTAGACTTAAATAATCAAAAAGAATAGATAGATAGATAGATAGAT